AAAAGTCGATTTTTTTTATTTTAACTAAAATATTTTACAGATTTTTAAATAAATTTTTTTTTTAAATAATAATACATTTGGATGGGTTAAAGTTAAAATTTTTAGAAATAATTGAATTTCAAAAGATTTTGTTAATTTTTAGACAATAATTAAATTTTACAGAACTAAAAATAATTTAGCAAATAATTTTAGATAACATTTTTTAAATGTAATTAAATATTCAAAGATTTACAATTGAGATTTTTGAAATTAATTGAACTTCAAGTGATTTTTAATTAAAAATTTTGGATGATTTCAATAAAAAATTTATTAGAAATTGCGGACAAAAATACAATAATTTGAAAATCATTTTTAATTGAAAAATGCTTTCTGATAATTGAATTTCCTTAGAGTTATAATTAAAATTATAAAATTTCAAAAAATTAAGAAAAAATTAAATTTTAGAAGCTTTTAAATTCAAATTTTTGAAAAATAATTGAAATTGTGGATAATAATTCAATTTTAGTTGGTTTTTGATTGAAAATTTTGATAATAATTAATTTTGAATTGAAATTTTTAAAAATAATTGAATTATATTTGATTTGAAATTGGAATTTTGGAAAATAATTGAATTCTAGTTGATTTTGAATTTAAAATTTTGAAAATAATTGAATTTTTCAATTATTTTGGGAAATAATTAAATTTTAATTGAAATTTTGGATAATAATTTAATTTTAATTGATTTTTGATTGAAAATTTTGAAAATAATTAATTTTAAATTAAAATTTTTAAAAATAATTGAATTTTATTTGATTTTAAATTGAAATTTTGGAAAATAATTGAATTTTATTTGATATTGAATTGATTTATGATTTTGAATTAAATATTTTTGGTAATTTTATTTGATATTTTTTTAAAATTATAAACAATTGTTAAATTTCATAAAAATTTTTATTGAAAAATAATTTGAAATAATTGAATTTGTGATGAATTTCATTAAAATTATTAAAATTAATTAATTTAGTGAAAAATTTGTTAAATAATTGAAATAAAGAAAATCTGAAGATCTGCATTTTATACTAAAAAAAATATATTTTATTTACAATTTTTTTTTTTTTAAATGTAAAAAAAAGTCAAAATAGTCGCATTTTATTAAAATAAGTCGAAAAAAGTCGTACTTTTTAAAAAAAAGACGGAAATAGTCGAAAAAGTCGTATAATCCGAGGCCTGAAAATTTGCCTGAAGTTCCGAACGTTCAAATGAACGAAATAATTTTGTTGGTTTATAAATTTTTTAAAAATTATTACAACAATGATAAATAAAAAAAAGTATATTTAACATTTAGTAAATTATTAATTTATTTTTACATACAGAATGCAAAATTTAAAAATTTGAACTTAAAAAAGTAGTAAACAAATTTTTCGTTCATTTGAACGTTTAGAATTTCAGGCACATTTTCTTATTTTTCATAAAGATTTCAAAAAAATATCAAAAAATAAAATAAAAATTCTTGAATAAAAATCTCACATAAAATTGCTCCCATATTTGAAATAAACTAAAAAATTTATGTATATGCCTTTAAGTTAAAATATTTTCTTCGCGGTTTTGGAATTAAATGGAAAACCATTTTAAGCAAAGATGTAAATTTAAGATAAGTGTTACTAAATCTTGTCTGCATTATATTTTAGCATAAGCAAGCAAAACTTGTTAATTTACTCCAAATATAATGTAGGTATATATTCTATATATCTATTTTGTTCTCTTGCTAATGGCGACAGAATGATGGATCACTGTATACTTAAACTTATATTTGACAAAAATAATATTACAAAGTTTATTTTATGTATATATTTTTTGCATAAACGAAAATTGAAGTGTTTTTTTACGTTTTTGAAAAAAAAACACTCGACAAAATTATTATTTCTGTTAAAGGCGTTTTTTTTTTTTTTTTTTAAAAAATTCATTCTTTTTGATAGAATGAAATATAAATGAAAGAACACTTGAATATATTGAAATTGCCATTCACACCTTGTTCTATCAACTGGAAATTTCAAACGTTACTTTCAGAGATGATAAAAATAGTTAACATCTTTGAAGTTTTAATTTTGTGGAAACAAATTTTAATCGTTTGGAAAAATTGTAATCAATTCAAATGATACAGAGCTTTTTGTTTTCTATTTTAGAGACTATCTTAAAAAGTTAAAATAAATAAATAAATGCCCCCATTCTATATATATATATATATGGGGCATTCCACAGGAAATTTTCAATCAAAATTTTTTTTTGTCCAAAACATTTTTTTTCGAAATCTTATATGGAAAATAAAAAAATACGTATTTTTTTATTTTTTTATATAGATTTTGAAAAAAATGTTACGGGCAAAAAAAAAAAATTTAATGGAAATTTCCCGTGGAATACCCCATATATATATATATACCGTGGTTGTCCCAGTTTCCGTCCACTTTAATTTTGAAGATAACACACTGAGAAAAAAATTTAGTGATTGCAACAAAATTGTTTGATTAGACAATTTTGGTTCTTGTAACCAAATTTTGGTTGACTGAAACAAAGTCGTAGAGTTATCTCAACCAAAAATTTGGTTAGGCCAACAAAATTAATTGGTTGAACATTTTTAAATTCCAACCAAAATTTAGTTACGACAACAAAATAATTTGGTTAACACAACAAAATAGTTTGGTCTAAAAAACCAAATGATCGTTTGTTGTCCTAACGAAAATTTGGTTGAACTAACCAAACATTTTTGTTATTACCAACAAAAAACACTCAACCAGATTTTTTTGGTTGACTCAAACAAATAGTTTGGTTGCTTAAGTACCAACAAAATTTTTTTTGTTGGCCCAACCAAATTTTGGTTGCTCTGACTAAACATTTTTCTCAGTGAATTTTTAAAAAAAAATTATTTTCTTTTATTTATTTACTTCCAACTAATAAAAACCATTGTATTGCAAAAAGAATAAAATATTGTTGAAAAATAATTTAAATTATAATACCGGATATTTGTAAAAATAAACGGTTACTATAGGACATGAACGGAAACTGAGACAACGATATATATAGTTTTCATATTGAAATAATGCCATATTAAATAATTATAATAATACCTTCTTATAAAAAAACTTTTTTTTTCAACTTTCGTCTAGTTTATTTTAGCTTTTTTAAGTCTCTTAGGTGTTAAATGTGTAAAGTTAAAAACTTTTCTATATTCTTCCTCTCTTTTCAACCAAAATTAGCGAGAAATTATTGGAAAAGTAAAGTTTGTAATTTGTCACGTAATATACAAGATAAAAATATAAAAATAAAAGAAATTGTTTTTTTTAACTTCCTTTTAAAAAAATGAAATAAAATAATAAAAATTGTTATATAAATAGCAAAAATAAAATATTTTTTAAATGGAAATAATTTACAGTATATATATATATATTTTTTTTTTTTTTTTTTGACTATGTCCTCGTTAATGAAAATTATTCATCAATGTTTACAAACCGCACAATACCTTATACACAATATATTAAAGTTTTGCTCCCGCATATAATATAATGTAATTAAATTCAAAAATTTTCACATAACCTTTAAAGTTGTTGACAAAAGGAATTTTTAATTGAAACTTTATATAATATTAAAATTAATCTCCTAAACAAACAGGCATTTCTTCAATTTGAATTAGAGAACAAAAATTCATTGCTGTGAATATTGTTTGTTTTTTCAAAATATTTAATAATATTAAATATTATTTAAAAATTTATATAATTAACTTTTTTTTATTTTTATACTGTATTTTTTTATTTCCGTTTTTGTTTATTATTATTTATTGTTGTAAATATTCAAATTTATTATTTTTATAAAAATTTCATTAAATTTAATTTTTATTAACATATATATTGATTGTTATTAATTTTATTAATATTATTGTTTCAATATTTTATTGTTATAATTAAGAATTTAATTCTAAATTATTCTAATTGTTATTTAATTTTATGAACATTTAAATATTAAAATTATAATTTATTATTATTATTCTTATATAATTGAGTGAATTAAATGATTTTTGTTTCAAATACAAAAATTATTGATTCAAATAAAAATTTATTTAATTCAAATAAAAATTATTTGCTTCAAGTAAATATTTATTTCATAATAGTTTTGAGTATTTTATTAAAAGTAATTGAGTATTTTAATCAAATAAATTTTTTTCATTGTACAGTAAAAAATAGTAAATATTTTTTCAATTTTTAGGAATAACGTATCAAAATTATGAAATATTGATATAAAAAATACTAAATTATAGAAAAGACTTTGTATAATAGAGTTATTAAAAATTTGTATTAAAGTTCATATAAATATTTACTACAATTTGTAAAAACATTTATCTAAAATTCAAAAATTTTTTGTACTTTTTATATAAATATTTTCTATTTTGATACTTTTTCTCTAAATAGAAAAATATTTACTAAAATTTCTACTATACTTATTATAATTTAATATTATATTTTCTTTCAGTGTTTGACTTGACATTATTATTATTATTATTTATTGAATTTTTATTTATTTTTAATAAATAGAATAAATTGAGAGAGAGAGAGAGAGATATTGAGTAAAACTTATAAAACTGTTCTTCAACAGTAAAATACTATTAATATAAGAGAAGAGAAAATAATAAGATAGGAAAATGTAAACAAAGACATGAACTACTTTCTTGAAAATGCATATCAAACTCCTTGCTTTTCTCACATATATATATATATATATATATATATATATATATATATATATATATATATATCCTGCACAAACTTATCAACAATATTCTCTTATCAACTTTGACAACAGCTTCAAAGTCATCTTCTTCCGCACAATTGTTACAAAACTTTTTCAAATGGAACCATCCAATTGAGCCTGTGTCCACGGATGCAAGAACCAAATATAAACCATTGAAAATGTATATATATATATTTGATTCTTCCATTCGATATACTTTTATCTTAAAGAGCTAATAAATATACCTGAAAGCGTATCGATTCTCTTCTTATCTTTTTTTTTCCCTCCTACCCCTTTTTTTTTGCTTCTCTCCTTTTTTTGAAACAAAAAACAAAACTTTTTTTTTTTTTTGCAAACTCTCGATAGATTCAAAATAAATCTATCCAATTTTTGACAATTTCATTTCACTTTCACAATTGAACACTATTTATATATATTTTTCAATAAGAGTACAGCAATAATAATAATAATAATAATATAATTTAATTGCTGATGAAAAACATTTTTTTCATATCACGAAAGCACCATCAATAATAATAATAATAATTTTCACTCTTGGCGATAATCACTCGCGAATAAAAATCGATCTAGTCAACTTACTCGAAATGACGCGCATCGATCGCGCATTCCGGTTTATAACGCAGCGTTTAGCGAAAAGGGAGCAGTGACTCCGAAATCCCGAGGATTACCGGATGGAGAAATCCGATCGTGGACCACTATGACGGAAATCGACACACTCTATTCACTCCGTGTTTCACGTTTTTCAATCAGAATTTTCAATTTTGCAAAATTTTTTTCGCAAAATTCACTCCGACTTATTAAAAAAAAAGAAAATCTTTTTTTTTCAATGTTTCTTTTTTATATAGCGGGAAATTTTTTTTTTTTTTTTTTTTTCTATTTTTTTTTTTGTATATGAATTCGCCGCGATTCGAACGTGTTTTGTTCTTTGGTACACGAGCGAAAGCGCCGGACGTACTAGTGCACGAGTGGAACTGACGAGGAACCTGGCAGGCTCCCCTAGACGCTGCGCCGCCGTCCTGCGTGAAAACGTCGTCGTCCCACTGTACACAACATATAACGCTATTGAGGGTACCTACAATATCGACGTCATCGACGTTTTTTTTTTTTTTTTTTTTTACCGCATATATACAACTACATCGTTTCGCAGTCGTAGTCCACCCACACCTGGATCGTTGCCCGCGCGCTCTTTTGTATCCCGCCCCTGGATCTTCCTAAATCCTAAGTCATAAGCGTAGGTTGATACATGGATCGTAAAACCAGACTCGGATTACGAGAGACTGAGAGAAGGAAGAGTATTTTAAAGAATCTCTCTCTTCTCTATATATAAGAAAGTCGAAAAGAAAACTGAAATGAGATGAAGATCAAGAGCCTCGAGGAATTATATTTAATTCTATTATTATTATTATTATTATTATTATTATTATTATTATTAAAGACTGGAATTTTAATTTCATTTTTTTTAACAATTATGTGAATTAATTTGTGATAAGTCTTTTTATCTGCTTGTTTTTCTTTTTGAAAAAAAAAAATTTCTTGAGGCGGGATTCGAACACCCACGTATTAATATTGCCAATGGGCTACACTCACGCACTGAGCTAATTTATAAACTGACAAAAAAGAATTCAATCTTGAACAACTGTTCTTTTAAGGGGATAACGTTATTTTTACCTTTTTTTTTTTTCGCTTGAAACTCGTTACTCGGGGGTTTTTAAGGTCGCTGAGGGACGCATGAATATTCCCTTCATTAGATTTGACGAAATTTTTGTGGTGTCAAATTAAAAATTATCGAATTTACATTCAATAGAATTTTTAAAAAAAGAGATTTCATAATGAGCCTAATTTTAATAATCAAAAATTTCTATATATTTAACAAAATTCTGATTTTGTAGAATTTCTATTTAACTGAACTTATACACTGCAAAAATAAGTGACTTATTTGGTATCTTACAATAAGATGTAATATGGAAAAATAGTATCTTCCACCTTAAAAAAAGATATTTTGTAAAGTATCTTATAAATATTTAATATGCTTTTTGCGTTTTAACAAAAACGAAAATATTTCTTCCATCTTAAATTGTAAGTTACTTCGGTAAGTTTCTATAAGTAACTTGAATTAAGATATTTGTGGGGTCATAAGATGTTTAGAAAAAAGATGCTTGTAAATTCTAAGATACGTCAGAATTTGAAGTTACTAAAATATAAAATACATTAAGCATCTTACATAAGAGGCCATAGTTAACCTCAAAATTTTTTTCATCAAAAATATGTAAAGCACTTTGGCGAAGATACTATTAACATCTTAAACTAAGATATTTTAAATAACTAAAAAGTTACTACCAAAACATCTTATATTAAGATACTTCTTTTTGCAGTGTAGATAAAGCAGATTTTCTAATATATCGAATTTTCAAATAACACAATTTCCATTTAATAAAATTGATATCAAGAAAAATTTTCATAAAAAAAGAATTTCTATTTATCCGAATATTAACTTAAAATTATTTTAATTAACAGAATTTCCAATTAAAATAATTTCTATATAACAAAATTCTCATTTAACAAAAGTTTTATTCAAAAAATTTCTATACTATCTAATTTTTTTTTAATAGTATTGTCATTTAACAGAAATTCTTCTTAGTTAAATTTTTAAGACAGAGAATTTCTATTTCACCGATACTTTATTTGACCAAAGTTTCACTTATCCGAATTTTCATTAGATGGAAATATTAAAACGTCGAATTTCCATTTGATCGAACTTTCATATATCAGATTATCCACTTGGCATAAACATTTCAGCGGGAATTTTAAAAACTATCTAGAAAATTGTGATTGGTTGATTTTAAATCTCCCGCTGAAATTTGTATACCAAGTGGATAATCTGATATATGAAAGTTCGATCAAATGGAAATTCGACGTTTTAATATTCCCATCTAATGAAAATTCGGATAAGTGAAACTTCGATCAAATAAAGTATCGGTGAAATAGAAATTCTCTGTCTTAAAAATTTAGCTAAGAAGAATTTCTGTTAAATGACAATACTATTAAAAAAAATTAGAGAAATTTATAATATAGTATAGAAATTTTTTGAATAAAACTTTTGTTAAATGAGAATTTTGTTATATAGAAATTATTTTAATTGGAAATTCTGTTAATTAAAATAATTTTAAGTTAATATTCGGATAAATAGAAATTCAACAAATAATCAATTCTGATAAATAAAAATTCTTTTTTATGAAAATTTTTCTAGATATTAATTTTATTAAATGGAAATTGTGTTATTTGAAAATTCGATATATAGAAAATCTGCTTTATCTAAGTTCAGTTAAATAAAAATTCTACAAAATTAAAATTTTGTTAAATAGAAATTTTTCATTATTAAAATTAGGCTCATTATAAAATCTATTTTTTAAAATTCCAATGAATATAAATTCTATAATTTTTAATTTGACACTACAAAAATTCTGTCAAGTCTAATGAAGGGAATATTCATGCGTCCCGTCGCTGATTACGAATCTGGCATCCAATTTCAAAAATTCAAAATGGCGGATCCAATATGGCACTTAAAAAGTGAAAAAATTATCCCGTGTGGAAATTAATCGTGGAAGTCTAGCTATAGCTAGCGCCACCAAATAATACAAGAATACAAATCTTTGTACATAGTGTTATAATAATACAAACAAAATTTAAGATTAAAAAAAACTATAATACAGAAAATTTATTTGGTAATTTATGGAAATTTATGAGGTAATTTATGAAATTTTGAGGTAATTTATGAAATTTTGAGGTAATTTATAATTATAATACAAACAAAATTCAAGATTCAAAAACTATTGCAGAAAATTTACGTGGTAATTTATGGAAATTTATGCGGTAATTTATGAAATTTTTAAGGTAATTTATAATTGTGATATAAGCAAAATTTTGAGATTTAAAAATTATTGCAGGAAATTTATGCGGTAATTTATAATATATAAAAGAAAAACTTGAAAACTAATTTTGGAAATTTATGGAAATTTATAGGGTAATTTATGGTAATTTATGAAATTTTTAAGGTAATTTATAATATATATTAAAGAAAATTTTTAGAAATTTATAGGGTAATTTATGGAATTTTATGTGGTAATTTAAGAAAATCTAATAGAAATATATGTTGTAATGTTGTAAATTATTTTTAAATATTTTATCGTAATTTTTAAACATCACCATTCCCGCAATACTAGTTAGTGGCTACAATACAAAATTGTGACATCAAATTTCGAAAATTCAAAATGGCGGACCCAAAATGAAGGACAAAATTTAAAAATTGATCGGATTTGCTTGAAACTTGTTACTCAGAAGTTTCTTAGGCCGCTGATTACGAATTTGGTATTAGATTTTCAAAATTCAAAATGGCGGATCCAATATGGCACCCAAAAAGTGAAAAAATCATTTGGATTCACTTGAAACATATTGTAAGTTTAACAGATTTGTATAAAACTTGTCACCCGAGGGTTTTTGAGATTGATTATCACGAATCTGGCATTGTATTTTGAAAATTAAAAATGTCGGATCCAATATGGTGGAAAAAATTTAAAAATTGATCGAATTTGCTTGAAACTCATTACTCGGGAATTGTTTGCTATATTGGATCCACCGTTTGAAATTTTCAAATTTGAATGTCAGATTAGTAATGGACGACCCTGAAAACCTCCGATTAATAAGTTTGAAACAAAATCATTTTTTAAATTTTGTCCTCCATATTGGATCCGCCATTTCTAATTTTCGAAATTTGATGCGAAATTCGTAATCATCGACCTTAAAATCAACGAGTTTCTAGCAATTTAAAAATTCGGTACCTAAAAATTCTTTACTAAAAGAAATACAGCCTCTATTAAGTAGATCCATAAGAAGAAAAACTTAAGTGCTATACAACCTGAACCACAGAACGAATCTTTAATTAAGATTACTACTCATTTTTTTTTGTTTCTAAAACGTAATTCTGTGAAAAGATTTTCCTACTTTCTTTACATTGTATTTTTAAAAAAAAAATTCGCAAGTGTTTAAAAAAAAAATTAAAAACTCTTAATAAATTGTTTACAGTTCTAAAGAATAAAATAATACAAAACGTGTATATGAAAATGTCTCTCTAAAGCTTTTAAATCTCGCGCAAGTGTAAGTATACAATATAAAAGATTCTTAACAACAAGTTAGAATTTCTTTTTTGATTCTTAGAAACCAGGTTAAAAGAGAAAAAAAATATATAATAGAAAAAATATTTAGAAATAAGAAAATTATATACAATGGAAAAAGTGTAATGTACTTCGAGTGCATTGAAAAATTAACTTTGGAAAAAAAACTAAAAGAAAATTAAAAAAAAAAAAATATGGTGTAAAATAAAATATATAAATGCAGTTCTGATAAAAGAAAGAAACGTAAACCAACTCTTAACCCTCCAATATTGCGTCATTCAATCTTTTTTCTCATTCAATATATATGTATATATATAGGTGACGGATTTCAAGCTGATACCGTTTTTATCATCAAAAAAAAGTTTGCTCCGGATTTCGTCAGAAAAAAAAAATTAGAAACGAAAACTTGAGGATTTAAATGAAAAAGTAAATTACAATATACGAAAAGAAATATTCAGTCATATTTCACTGAAAGCCAGTACGATTATTATAATCGATACATCTGTTTTTATAATTAATCAGTAAAACGGATTTACAGATTGGTTTGCCAAATCTCTTTTACCGACCGACGATAACAATATGAAATCTGTTTTATCATCAATCGGTAAAACAGATTTACAGATTGAATTTCCAAATCTGTTTTACCGATCGTTGATAACAATGTGACATCTGTTTTATCATCAATCGGTAAAACAAATTTAGCTAAAAATAACTGGAAATATGAGAATAAATTTCTAAGTATCATTGACTCAAATAATAATTATTTAATAGTAATAAATATATTTATTCTCAATAATAATTTAGTTATAAATTTATAAATTCATTGAACCAAATAATTTTTTTTCCAACATATTAAAGAGAATTTTTTTCTTCACAAAAATTTTAAAGAAACTTTTTTTTTTCTTTTAGAATATGAATGAAAATGAACTTCACCAACAATGTAGACCAGAGATGTGCGATGCTTTCCTTTTATCGAGGGTAGAAACACATTATCGCGCTGACCTTTTATTGCTGAATGTATCCAAGAGAAGAACCGACAGAACCACA